ACCCAACAAACAAAAACCCGTGAAGAACACAAGATTATTTGGTTTATTTCACACGAGTGACCCGTCATTATCCCGTGATAATTCACGTGTTGTCGAGGTGATTGTCGACGATTTGATCACGGGTCTAGGACCGAGTTTTTACACGGCGAAAACTTGAGTTTATTTCACGAGATGAACACGGGATTTTTACATGGGAAAATTATTTTTCTCCCATCTACTTTAATTACATTTTTAAAAACCCCAGGAATGGGGGGGGGATACATAATTGATTTCTGATATATAAATATATTATAAAATATACTGTGTAAAAGTATATAATTATTACATTTAAGTTTATATCTTTTATACTAAACATCTTGAACACGTAAACTTTAAGCTTTTCTTATCGCAAAGTGATATTTCAAGTCTAAATAATGTTCATTTATGTTAATGTGATCATAATTGTATGAATTCTCCTTCCTGTATATATGTAAAATATCGATATTCCAAAAAGGGGTTGGTGAGAAATACAATACAAAATTCAATGTGAAACTTTTCTATACTATGCTCATGCTTGTTTTAATCTGAAAAATTTATGTCAGTTGAAATATTTCATTTTACTATAATAAACTTTTAGTTTCTAAAAGATGAGCAGAGACACCAAGTGTTGTGATTTTGCAACTCTGTTAAAAATGAAAGATGAAATTCTTCCCATGATATCTCAAATATTTTACGCGTGATATTTACAAGAACTAAAATCTAGATAATTCTGGCATTCCATTACTCATGATTAACACGTTTGGAATATGCGAGAGCTTGCACTGGTATCTTTTCTACAAGCATAACATGTGAAAAAACTACGAGAATTGAACTATAGAATTATCTCGAATATAGTACACGTGATAATTACGAGAATTAAAATCTAAAAATTCTGGCATTGCATTACCCGAGTTTAACACGATATGAATATGCAAGATTTTGCACTGGTTTATTTTGCTACGTGTACAACATGTGAAATAACATCGAGAATTTTCAAAGAATATTTTCGCGTTTTTTACCCGTGCTGTACACAGGAGGAATCTTCAAGATTGTGAAAAGTAGATTTACCACGAGTATAACACAAGGAGGGTACGAGAATTAATCACGTGAATTATCAACCAGTTCTCCATAATGCTAATCTCGTTGAAAACCTGTGTTTTGTTTGTTGGGATAGTTCAAATGTACCATAGTTCAAACGGCAGTAGTTCAATGAGAATCCACCAAACACGCGATCATAAACTCAACATGCACTCTAACCTTAACACTTTGATTAAATATTTTAAAATCATTACGCCCCCCCCCCCCTCCCCCCTTCCTCATGGACCTGGAATAATTTTTTAGTTTTAACACTTTTATTTTTAAATTCTACTCTATATTTTATATTCTGTGGTGACTGCACGACCTTGGCGGTATAATTATTGTAAGACTAATCAGAGCCAAGAGAATTGTCACGTGATGACAATAACCAATGAGAGGGCAGTACTTCCGAGGCTCTCAATTTCGGAGCAGAGCAGACAGGCTCAGTTTTACTGACTACCGAGTATTTAGTACTGAGTTGAGTTTACAACTTTCAAGTTACAACTCAGTTGGAGGGAAAATAAAAAATCGATAATTTTATCGAATGCTATTGTTGTAGCCCAAATTCTATAATCTTATTACAGCGTGACATTAGTTTTACTAAACTTCATGAACACATGCAAAGAATTCATCTCTAGTAGAGTTTCAAAATTGTTTCTGAAACATATTTATTCTTTCATTCCAAACCTATCAAAACCTGTATTGTCCGGTATGCGCTTTATAAATATTGATAATCATACCGATTATGATTAAACCGTTTGGATATTTTTTGTGAACGAATTATTTTAATATTTATCTTACAACTATTACAACAGACAAACAAACATGGACTCACGAATACATAGACTTACTACTAGGACATATATATTATTATAGATATTCTTTTTAATCTAGGGCGGATACAAGGGGGGTTGGACGGGGGTACCCTCGCCCGCCCCCCACCCCTCCCCCGAGGTTTTGAGGCACAACTGTTGCAAATTTACAAATTTAATTATCTTAATTTATTTAATCGTTTGAACCCATTTATCAAGATATTTGAAGAAATTATGATATTAAATACANGGGAATATAAAGTAACCCGTGGCCGCAGCGCTCGGCCCCCTAGCCTGTCCTTGCCGCAGTGCTCGGCCCTGAAAGTGCCCTTAACCTAACGTTACCCTAAATAAATACTAAATATAAATTATGTACAAAATTGATAGGAGGGGAGGGGAGGGGTCCAAAAATCGTTCTCTAGGACAGACCCAAATACAAAAACATAGAACTTCGTATATCGAATCATAGATAAGAAGAAATGTGTACTTAAAATAAGGAACAAAAAAAAGAACTAGGAACATTATAGGTTTTGAAAAAAAGAGGAACAATACAATAACTCAAATGTTGGGTCGGGTGAGGAAGGAACATATACATCAGGACCAATAAAATGGAACTTTAACAGGAACAATGAGTATTGAGCCAAAAAAACTAGGAGTTTCATACATGCACTAAGAACCTGAACATGAGAACAATAAATGAAATACATAATCTAAGGAACAATAAAAAGATTGTTAAGTAATAAGGAACAAAAATAAAGCATTTAGTACAGAGATTTAGGGTCTAGGAACAAAGTGTTAGGAATGGGAACAAAAATAGGAACATGAAGCAATTGTTACAAGTTAAAAACAAAAATGAAAGAACTCGGAATTAGGAACAAAAATTAAAGGACACGGGAACGTAATTCGTAAAACATGAATAATAATCAACACAAAGGTACATAAAAAGGAAACATACATATACACTGTACATGAATAATAATCAACACAAAGGTACATAAAAAGGAAACATATATATGCGCAAAAAGTGTCATTTACACAGTACATGAATTAGAAACAATTATAGTTAATAATATGGAATATAAAGCAAGTTAAGAACAAAAAGAAGTTAAATTTAAAATCAGGAACATTATCATAGTTTTGATTATTGATTAAGGAACATTGCTATGCATATGCAAGTTAGATAGGAACAATATTATAATACAAGTCAAGGGGTTATTTTTAGATTTTCAGAATTTTTTGTTCCTATTTTCAGAATTTTGTGTTCCTATTTTTGGAATTTTTTGTTCCTATTTTTAGAATTTCTTGCAGGCCCGTAGCTAGCACTATCTGATACAAAAAAAGAAGAAAATGAAAAAATGAAAAGAATTGGATACTAAAAATTAAAGAAAAAAGAACAAAGGGGAGAAAATTGGCAAAAAATATATTTTGTTTGTAAAAGAGTAATTTTCTTCAAATTAAAGGAAAATTGAGTGCTTTCTGAAAAAAGTTATTAGGGAATTTTTTATCTATCCTGTCTTTTTAAATGATAGGGTTTATATTAACTTTTTTGTACTTAGAGAAGCTTATCCTTTTCCCTTCTTTTATAAGATTGATGATTCTAATGAACCATCGTACAGCAAAAAGTGAAATGGAGACAAATCAAAATTATATATAAAATACGGTACTCATCCTTAAGCTTGCAGGGGAGTTTTTTCGAATTTTAGTTTTGGGAAAACGAAGATTTGAGCTTTTTGATCTTAACAGGCTTTTGCAATTTACATCCTTTAGTTTTCTTTATCAAAAGTATAGGATATTCGTGATTTTTGTTATTTTTTTTGTTTTATAGATCTTGTTTTTCTTCTAAATATAGAAATAATCAAGTTCTTCTATTTTCAGATTAAGATTATCCGATATATGATATATGAAAATTGATAAAATATATTTGATTCATAAAAACAACAACAACAAAAATACAGAAAGGTAAACAACTACATTTCTTTTTAGTATATGATGNCTTCACGTTTTTAGTTTATGATGATATCTGGTTTATTCACGTTTTCCACAGTTTTTTCTCATATTGGATAAAATGGAAAGACAGGAAAACAATAAGTTAAAGCCCGCCTTTAAGTAAACCTTTATTTGTGGAAAGGCATGCCCAATTCACAACTGTTCCCTTTAGACTTTTGTTTGTTTAAGGAATAATATCCTTGTTTCTCAATCTAAAATTTAAATAATTGTTCCTATTTTGGCTTCTCTAGATGATAAAAATAAATAAATGTATTTTAGGATTGAAGTATGGTAAAACGAGATGGAAGGGAGGGCAAGGAGGGAAGCACATTAGAAATGAATACTATTAAGGAAAATATCATATATTCAAATCATGACTTGACGTTTTTTTTGCCTGTTATAATTGATAAAACTTTGCTAAAAAATGTTTAGAGTTTGATGAGTGGTTTAATCATATTATATTATATTTTCGACTTTTTAAAAAAATTGTTAAAAAATGTTTGCCAAGAACTAAATTAAAATTTTTAATCTAATTCAGACTTTACTCCCAGTTAGTTAAAATTGGAAATAATCATGTGAAGTCAAAAAGAATAAAAAAGGCCTGCCCAATGCCCATCGTTGTCTGAGTTTATATATTATCCCGGAAATATTCTCAGGTTATTTGGATTCAAATTTTTAAAAAAAATGTCGAACTTTTTTATTTTTTGAATTAATGATACTTTGCAGGGGGATGACTCAAGTCTGAACGAAGAAGAGATTTCTTTGCTAGTTGGAGGAGAGGAGGAGGAGGAGGAGGATGGATGTAGACGAGAGGAGGGAGTGAAAGAGGAGGGAGGGAGGGGTGAGGAGGAGGATGAGGGAAGATACCTGGGAGGGAATCATCTACCAAACATAATTATAACTCCGTCCAGACGTAACAGTGAGTACTTTTCTTCCCGGACAGACAGAGTACATTGCACATTACACTGTACTACAGTACTGTAATCTTTTAGTATATTGTGCGCAAGTGCACAGTACACTATGCTAAAATACAGTAAGTACACTTCAGTGAACTGCACGTACAGCATGTACACTACGCTTCTGTACAATATACTTTGGTGCGTACAGTGTAGTTAGTATAGTACAGTGGATATTGTACGGTTTAGTACAGGTTACTGCAACATGAAGTGACAGGACTGAACAAGAACCAATTATCTCGGGACATCCTGTACAAATTAAAGGACTAAAAGGCTGTCTAGTTGTCTTCAGACACACTGCACTATAATTATGCCATTGAAGGGCGATAATCTTGGGTTTAAGAGCGACTTATTTATACCAAAAATCACTTAGTCGTAAATCTATAGGATTTAATTTTAATGGTTTTCCTAGGGCACCTTGTAGCAAGTGCAGGATTAAAGGGTGACCAGTTATCTTGGGACACCCAGTTCTACGTGTTGGGATTAAAGAAGTGGGGAATGGGGGAGGACAGTAGTATTACGCAGTGAACCTGAATTCTTCCCATTCTTGTAGTTGTCTGTAAACAATACTAGATAGATAGATAGATAGATAGATAGATAGATAGATAGATAGATAGATAGATAGATAGATAGATAGATAGATAGATTCTTCTTATATTTGTGGTTTTGTATGTTTTAACTTTGACCAGATTTTTTTTGCGCAGACCAGTTTTTTGCATAATAATTAAAAATTTCCATCCTAAACCCGGGTTTTTAATCCCCATTTAGTTTTTTCTTTTCGCTATAATTTTTCCTTCTATTTCATACTTGTCTCGTTTCTTTTTTCTTCTATTTTATATTTTTTCTTATATTTTTACTACCGTTTTTTCTTATCACATTCTGTGCATTTCGCCATAAACAATTATTCTTCAGCCGAATTTTACTTTTGGGGGAAAGTATGAAGTTTTTTAGGAAAACCGAAATCTTTTGGAGGGGGGGGGGTAGAAAAATAACTGCAAGTTAAAGCTAAGTTTTTAAAGATTGATACTTTGAAAAATCACCATAACGTTTAAATTGATTTTTTATAATTCCTTCTTTATAATGTATTTATAAAATCAAGTTTTTTTCTCTATACAAATATTTTTCATCTCTTATATTTAGATGTTAATGTAAACTACAAGGTGTCCTGAAAAACGCATCATTTAATGTTATATAAATGTCGGTTTGTTAATATGCATACATATAATATTAAGTTAATGATTTTTTGCCTCGTAAAAAAAGAGCATATTTATGATGTAAATGTCTTTATATAAAAAGAATTTTACATTATTTGGTCCCAAAAATATAATTTTTTCTTAAAAGTCCTTTGACTATTTTTGGACAGCCTTTTTGTACAAAAAAAGATTTACAAATGTATATTTTGAAAATAGGATTTTCACTTGTGTGCGATATCTTTATTGCAAACAGAGAATGTAAAACATTTTCTTTTATTGACGTCAGATATTAGAGATCAAATATCACCAAGGGAGGAATTAAAAACATAAAAAGTCGGGGG